GTGAGAGAGAGAGAGAGAGAGAGAGAGAGAGAGAGAGAGAGATCGCAACAGGGGTGTTTCTGATAGATAGAAACCGAGAAAAAGGAAAAGGTGGCAGGGGAGGCAGGGGCAGCAGCAACCAGAGGAGGAAGACATGGTGGAAGAGTTGGAAGAAGAAGAGAAGAGTCTCAGAGCGGCTCACAAACTCCTTTCCCTTCCCCTCCCCACAACAGACACCCTGTGAGGGAGGCGGGGCTGAGAGAGCTCTGACAGAATCTGCTCTTTTTCAAGCACAGCTCTTATCAGAACTATGGCTTGCCCAAGGCCATCCAGCCAGGTGCAAGTGGAGAAGTGGGGAATCAAACCCGGTTCTCCCAGATTAGAGTCCGCGCACTTAACCACTACACCAGACTGGATCTTGGGTGGGGGAGAAAGAGGCAGAAAGAGGAGAAATAAGAGTGGAGGCAGCAGTGGGGAAGTAAGAGCCAGCAGGCCTGTTTATATGCGTTTGTGTCCATGTGTGTTTGCAGACCTTGTGCCTTAGTGTAATTTTGCCTCTAGCCTATGGAGTTGTGGGGCAGGAAATAATGCTTAGAAGGAGGGCAAACAGGGTTCAGGTTGATTCTTAGCCACATACCCACCTACACTTGCCTGGGAAAGTCACATAACCTCCCTTTAATTACTTGTGCAGTGAGTGGCCACCCGTGCTATTAAGTATGGCTCGTGTCACCGTGATCCTCGGCCCGGTATGATAAACACGGGAGATCTGACCTTCACCTAGAGAGTGATGATGGTTTCTTTCTGTATTCTTTTCCCATTTCCCAGAAAGATGTACGTGGTCATTTCTGTGAAGGCTTAACAGAGTGATCATTTTTAACACCACAGCCCATCAGAGACCCTGCTTACCTGGTGGAGAAAGATTTGATAAGAAACATAACCCCTGTTACGTTACCTGCTGAAACATTAACAAACACACATGAATATACACCATCCTCCGCTGGGAGAGTGTCACATGATATCGGAAGGTGCCCCTCTTTCAAATGAATCCAACATAGATCTTTCAGGGCCTCACAAAATCCCCGGCACGGTGGAGGTGTTATTGGAAGAGAAGTGTTACACCCAGGCACCAGTAGCAAGCAGAAAAACCACTCCAAGTAGCGGTGACACCGAGATTTAAGAAGCCCCTCCCACTCATGCAAAGCAGCCCGAATTTCCTCCTCACTGCCATGATGCAAATAATTCGGCACTCGGAAATGCTTCATGCCCAGGTTGTTGCAATATGACAGCTTGGCCGGCAAGGGTAAGCAGTGGCCCACTGCTGGAGTCAATCCAGAAAAGAAGGAAGGAAGCCCTGCACTGCTATTGCTAAAATGCTGCATAGTGTAGGTTAGTAGAAACTCAAGAGATTCAGAGTTACTGGCAGGGGGGGAATCCAGAACATTAGTTGCATTTGAATTAGAAACAGAATCACTAGAGTAGCCTACTGGTATCCCAGGATGCTGAAAGGGGAGTTTTTTAAGGCTGAGATGGGCACTGCTGCCTTCAGAGGCTGATTGGTCTGAATTTGCAACATAAAGGGACAGCCAGTGGTCTGAAGCCCCCGTCACCTTGGGTGTAATTCCAACATGCAGGCTGCTATTCGCCTGAGGCTTCTGCACTTCCAGATCATTTGCACGGGATGCAATTCCTCCTTTTTCTGAGAAACCTCCCTGGTCTGCCCTTCGTTCTGGAGCTTTGGCACCTTCTTGCCCTGCATGTGTGGATTCTTGAAAAGCCAGCACATCCCAGCTGGCTCGGTCACCTGATGAAAAGGAGAAAGGGGCACTACCTGGGCGTGGTGTCTCAGGCGTCTTTAATGGAACTTGAGTCTTGTTCAACGGAAATTCGGGCTTTGTAGTCGCTGAGAGAGCAACGTGAGGCTGCTCAGTTTCCAGTAAGATCTGCACATCACCCGTCACGTTGGCAGTTACATTCTGGACAGCAGTGAGCTCCACAGCATGAAGAGAGGAAGCTTCCAAAAACCCAGCTGTCACCGATGCCTCAGTCCTCTGTGTCCCTTCGGTTGTCTTTTTATCCCATTGCTGAACCAGACTCCGAATCCCTTCAGCCACACTGAGTATCTCAGCCCCGACCCCTGCGATAGTCCCCTCTCGGCCTCCCAGCTCAGAAGGTGACGCAGTAGCTGTGGTGGGGACAGTTGTGCTTGCAGGCAGGTCTGGCCTCTTGAGGGTAAATATATTCCATACGTGTCCCGTTTGCTGTGTGGTACTTTCTGGGGGGATGTCCAAGGTGGTCGCTTCGGATGTGGTTACTCGATGTGTCGTCTGGTCCTCGGTATCGACAGCCTTTGTGGGAGGGAGGGTTGTTTTCTCTGAACTCCCCCAAAGCCAACTCCTCCAGCCCTGGGCATCTGATAAGCTACAGGTCAGCAACAGCAGGAGTCCGATATTCTGCACAGCTCGAGCCATTAAAAGGTTGCTTGCGGGGGGAAGGAGTATGCTGCGCAGCAGTGAGTGGTGAGTGGAAGAATTCGCATTGATCTGTCCTCGGGAGCTCTGAGGCTGGGAAGCACGCCGCTCTCTTCCAAGCAGATGCAAGGCTAGCGGAGGCGTGGCTCACAAAGTCCTCCCTCCGGCAGCCTCGGCTTCCCAGTTCATCCCAAACTTGCTGCGTCAGCCTGTCATGCTCTTGGCAGCAAGAGAGGCGGGAGTTACGTGCACACCTGCTGGCTTATTTGCACCCATATGAAGGCGCTAGCAACATTTCAAGGTTTAAGCCTGTCGCTGTCCCCCCAGCCCCCAAGCACATCAAGATTATTTTGGCACACTAAACAAACTTCTTCCTGCCCTCAACTGATAGTAGCAACTTGGCAAAGAGAACTTTCTCCTCTGTGGCTGTTTATGTGTAATTTCCTTGACTTAAATCATTAGCAGCACTATTGACAGCACAGACTCTCTCCTTCAGGGAGATTACCCATGGGAAAGAAACAGAGAAATTGAAGTAGCAAAATCTGTGCAACGTGGTAAACTTACTCCACTCACATAACAGCCAGAGAAAGAATTTATCTTTTAACTGGCTTATTCTACACATTTTGTCTTCCACTTCCAGTTAAATTGATAATACCGGGCATGATCCAGCCACAGTTCAGCAAACTCAAATGATTTTAAAGGAAGAGTTAAGCACACGCTTAAATATCCTCCTGTTGAAATGAATGAGACTAGACTGTGTCCACAGTTCTCAGGACTTGATACAAATGGGATATCTAAAAAACGTCCCAATGTGAGTAAGCACCAACACATTTCTTAGGCTTCATAATCCAGCCAGGCAAAGAAGAAGAAGAAGAAGAAGAAGAAAAGAGCTGTGGGGGGGAATGTCTTCTTGTTATCTCCTGCCTGCATAAGAAAAGCTGCAGCAGACGACACAATTCTATGCACACCTGAGAATAAATCCCACTGAACTGAGTGGGACTTGCTCATGAGTAGACATGCACACAATCGGCCTACAGAGAGGACAGGAAGCAGCAAAAAAATTCCCTTCCTGCACACCAAGCTTCTGAGGGGCTGACTGACAGTGGAGTGGGAATGAAAGCCGCCTACACAACGAAAAAGCTGCACATATTCATACTGCGCAAGGCAAATTAAAAGGGGGCACTTTGTATCCTGCTGACCCGCAGCTGCTTTCAAAGAATCTGTTGGGCAGGGGAGAGGGGTTCACAACAGCAAGGTATGTTCACTAGGCCAGTGCTCTTCAAACCCCGGGTCAGGAAACTTTGGGTGAATGGCAGGGCCCCAACGCCTCAGCCATAAGCGCCTTTAGAGCTGTGCACATGCATAGAAAACAAAGGTATCCTTTCACACACCTCCCTCTTCTTAGCACACATTGCTGAGAGGAGCAGTAGGGTGGTGAGGGGAGGTGACTCTGTGGTGCATAACCAGGACCTCGCCTCTTTTTGTCATGTGACTTCCTGTAATGTGCTTGCAATTCAGTGAGTTCCATGTTGCCATCTTTTGTTTAAAGGTGAGTCCCAGCTCTGAAGTTGCATTAGACTGACAGAACTAAACCCCATTTGTACAACTGTATGCATACAGAGCAGTCTCGGCACAAAAGAACTTACGGAGGTTCCTGGACATAGGGAGAAAACGCAGCACATTTAAAGCTGGACCTGCATAGACTTCATGCAGAAGTTGAACTGAAAATGTTTCATTACACGTATTTACTCACCTTGCATAGAAAGACTCAACAGTCTGGGATAGGTCGGCAATGGGACCTGCCACTGTGATCCCGCCCCCATTTCTGTCAGCAAGCTGCCATGGTGTTCTGTGTTGCTGGTACCTCTGTACAGTTGCTACCCCACCCCCCTGCCTGTGCGCTATTATTTTACTCTGCTGTAATGCCTAAGCCAAACAACTGGAGGATGTATTGGGGGAGTTCGCTTCACTGCCAGCTTGTTGCTTTTAGAGCCTGGGAACTGCACCTGTGTTATGTCTGGGGATAGCCTGGTTCTCAGGGAATGAGCGCGAAACCGTTTCCCTTCACCCGCCAGCGGGAAAGTGACCCATTGGTTCTGTATCTGTTTCAAATCCCTTTATTATGCTTGCTCTAACCGTTTGTAGTCAGTTCTAACAAAGAACGTGTTTGAGTGTCTTTCCAACGCTTTGAAATAAATTTTGCTTTTCTTTAAAACGTGGATTTATTCTCGATGCTTGGGGATCCAACAGATGGACCATCTTTTTTTTGGCCACTCGGTGTCTACACAGCAGCCAACAGCAGGGGTGGGCATCCAGTGCCCCTTGTGGCTTCCACTGGACATTTAGGAGAGTCCCCACCCTTTATGTCCCCCCACACACACATACGCACAACCACACTGTTCCCTCAACACCATTTGTAACTCTCAGCAACTGAAAACCTTCAGGCAATTTAGTACGTAAGGCTTTCATAGGGTTACCAAGTCCTACCTTCCATAATAGCAGGGGAGTCCTGTGCCCCATCTGGGAGTTCCTTCACGCTGATTGCTAGAGCATTGCCCAGCAATGTGCCCAGCATGATGACGTCACTTCTGGGTAACGTTATTATGCCGGGCATGTCAGCCCAATTTGGCCACTTTGGGGGTGAGATCCCCCTGCTGGCCAGATCTGGATTGATGGATTGGGGGCCTTTTCAGCA